AAGAAGAAGAAGAAGAAGAAGAAGAAGAAGAAGAAGAAGAAGAAGAAGAAGAAGAAGAAGAAAGGAATATGTTGGTACTCCAATGATAATGTCAGACTAAGCTTAGGGAAAGCCATGTTCAGATCATGATCCAGTCACTACTGCTGAGTCTGTTCTAATGTTCACAAGACTGACATGAAAATAAAATGGGGAGTATGCCCTATCACTCTAAGTTCTTTAGTCAAAGGTTGGGATGAAAATGTAACAAATGGAATCGCAAAACAGTAATAAATATAGGGAGCCCACAAAATGGGTATATTGTATGTAGGATTTGGAATACACTCTTCCTGTGTTTTTATCTTTATAGTTTTTAAAAGTTTTAATGGTTTTTAATGGTTTTGCTTGAATTGCGTGGGCCATCCAGAGACACATACATGAGATGGGTGGCTATATAAATTTAATAAATAAAGGGAATGGCAAGGATCCATACTAATTCTTTCTTCGAAATCTTTCATATGCTACCCTAAGGTAGCCAAGGATGTGAAAGAGCCAAACCTTTTTCCTAGAAGATTCTGCACCAAAATTGTGGTTGTCTTCTTTCCTCCATGATTTCATTTGCTTTTTATTATTGGATTGGGCAAAGTTGCAAATCATGTTTCAAAAGGGTGGTAGAGTTCCCTTTACCAAAGTTATCACCATTGATCAGATTTCACTCAAGTCTGCCATTCCAAACCAGGTGACTTCTGGATGAGATGGAGCAGAATTTCTCCAAACCAGAAATTCTTCAAAACATCTGGAAGAAATTTTTAAAAGTGGAGGGGAAACCCCTTCTTTGGAACTCTTGCTGAAATCTGGTTCTCCCAAAGCAGAGAGATGGACTTTGTTGTTAACTCAGAATGAGCTCTGAGCAGCATCTCTCTACAAATAATCCTCAATTACTTACTTAACTCCAAGTGATATTATTTGGTAAGGCGTGGGCTGCAGGAGTTTTACTCTATGAATTCTGAGCCACTTTTAAGGTTATCTGTCAGCTAATTTGGCAGAAAAGCATTGATGCGGAATGGCAGAAAACAGAAAACCCCACCGATGGGTTGAAATCTTTCCTCACTCACCCAACATCACATAGATGTTGCAATAGAAATGCAATTCAATCCAAGGGGTGGATGCAACTTAAAAATAAAAGTTACGGATTAGCTACAGTCAGTGAACTCAATTATAAATTGGTATGGCAGAAGACATTTCACCAAGTGTGAATCCACTGAAGGTTATTAATAAAACTTTACAGCCTATTCTCCAGTCAACTGTTGTGCTACTTCACAAAGGGCAAGGGAGCAACCTTTGTCCCAGATCTTCATTTCCTGCTGTTTTATCATTAAATCAGCATACAATTTGGACGGAATATACTTCTTGGCCTGACCAAAGCACTGGTCCCCACTGAAGCATTCGTTTTTAGGAATGGTGATTTTGTGTGTTGGTTTTTAAGTTGCGTCAAAGAAAACCGCTCTTATTTTTATCATTTGCTTTGGATGAAAACACAACGGAGGGATGAAAGGCAGTGGAAACACACAGAAAGAAGCCAGGTTATTGCTGAATTACCTTTCGGGATCTCTCAGCAAAGACCTGGCATAGTAGATCTGGAGAAGGAGGGCCATAAAAGAGTTAAACATTTACTTCAGCTCGATTCATATTTGAACGGACAGAAAAGGTGGGGGGGGGGAATGCCTGTTTCAAGCAATGCTGCTTCTTGTCTGTCAGCTCAACTCTGTCACTAGATAATAATTGTATTCATTTAGCATTTAGAATACTCAAATTTGCAAATGACAATCCGAATGAATATTTCATAACAAAGAGGCATGATCCATTAGGGTAGAGCGACTCCGACTCCTGATTTTGCATTCTGCATTTGTACGAGAGGCTGTGGCACTCACGGCTAATTAAAAGTATAGCTTTTAATCTTAAAGCCTAAGAAAGGGAAGGAATTTAAGGCGCAGGTGGAGAAAATGGTCCTGTTTTTCCTGGTTGCAGGGAAGATGCCCTGGGTTTGTTGTGTGTTCCTTCGATGGTGTTATCACACAACAGAAGCACCTGTCAAAGTCTGCAATGGGGAAACAGCCCTGGGAGTATGAAACGGAGGTGGGTGAATGTTTGGTGCCTTGCTTACAAAATGAGTAGCCCAGGTCAGCTGGCAAGGCAAGACAAGCAATGGTGTTTATACCAAAACGGCTTCTAAGGGTAACAACAGAGAACGCAGAGAGGAAAACGCAAGCAGGAATTTGAGCTATTGTGGGCAAAAGCTACAGAAGGAACCATAAGGACTTTCAGGAGTGTCCAGATGAAAAACTGACACTGAGATCATTCACGAGAAAGACCTTCCCCATCTCTTTATTTCAGACCTTGAGCTCTTTAACGTAGCATAAATATTAGGGTTATAAAACATAGGGGAAGAAAGAAAGAAAGAAAGAAAGAAAGAAAGAAAGAAAGAAAGAAAGAAAGAAAGAAAGAAAGAAAGAAAGAAAGAAAGAAAGAAAGAAAAGGGCGAGCATCAATTTTCTTTTAAATATATTTGGTGCATTGTTGCCCAACTAAGCTGAAATGTCTAACATCCCTTCCACGCATCTACATGTCTTTTTTTCCCCCCCCTTCAAAATCATGATTCAGTCTGATTGTATGATTCGTGCAGGGCCACATTCACCTAGTTAAGCGGAGCTCCCTTGAATAGGAGCAGTGTATCTCTGAATTGGAAACAGACCTGGAACCCTGATCCAGGCTGGTTAAAACGATGAACCTCTGCATTCACAGGACATGCTAAACTGGATTAGTGGGTTTGTATTTGCATGTAAGCATCCTTTAGTTAACTAGAAACCTGTTTCAGAGTAAGCTCACTGTACTGCTTACAGTCATCTCTGCTGCTGCAGGAAGAAATCCATCATTTTCAACCTCCCTTTCTGTCTGAAATGTTGAGTCTTTTTTTTTTTTTTAAATGCATGCCTGTTTTGCAGCTTTTTATCTACTGCTTTTGCGTTCTGAATTAGCTGCCTGGAGCAGTTTTAAACTTTCCATATCAAATTTGGGGTTTCTTCCTTAGAAGAGAACAGAGGGCTCCTTCCTTCCTTCCTTCCTTCCTTCCTTCCTTCCTTCCTTCCTTCCTTCCTTCCT